TGATCCTTCGCCCTCTCACGCCCCACACCCACACCTACCACCATAGGTTTTATCCAGTGCTCGACCATTACAAACACACTACGCACCACCACCAGCAAAATAGCGCCCCTCAGAGGGACTGAAGGGTATGAGAATAAGAAAGGGTCTGATTCAGGTCAGCTTTGTTCCGGTCGGGGTTCGTGTACCTGCTGGGCCTCAAGACTCCTCTGTACGGGATGCGGGCCACGCGGGTCACTGGGCCCAGAGAGTGATAGAACCGAGTCCTGTTCAGAATAGGATAACACAGGATAGAATGGGGGGAGGGGGGGGCACGGATCACTGTTAAGGCTGTTTTGCTTTTGGATTATTTTTTTTTTACTGTTTGTTTGGCTGAATGAGTTAGGGCTGAATGAGCAGCAGTCGTTCTGGTTAGAAGAGTTACTGATGGAGTTATTTCAAAATGGAGTTTTAGACAAACCCTTTCACTATTACTCAGTGTGACTCCAGGGACTTGTGGACAAACAACGGCACTTCCTCTTAGGAAGACGCTGATTTTAAGGTTTGACCTTTGATGCAGCTGCTGGAGGAGCAGAAGCGTCTGAAAGCAGCAGTGGAGTGACATTACATGATGGCCTTGACTGTGAGTTTAAAAGCAGGGTTGTTTTTGCTTAAAGCCTGAACATAGAAAAATGCCCATCTGGAATGGAGGTACAGTTTGTCATGATTTTTGCATGATATTATGACAGACAAAAAAAAAAAAAAAAAAAAAAAAAAACAACCCTGGAGGCACGAGCAAAGTAACCTCACCTCTCAAATGCTGGCCAGGACACCTCCTCACTGAGCTCCGAACCCTCACTGCTCCCTGTGCAAACATCCCAATCACACACTGTTACCTCGAAGGCACACACCAACGCGACATCGCATTCGCGAAAACGAATGCTCAAGTCTCACCGAGAGAAATGCCGCTAGACAACGTGGAGCTTTCCGCTTGTCCTCTGTTGGGGCTGTTGCTCTCCATCACACTGTCATCCAACAGGTGGCGAGAGCCCGCATTGGGGAACGTAGCGCTTTTGAACTCCACCGTATTCATTTTATGAATAAAACTGTGCAAACACAAATGAATGGTTGATGAGGGTTTAGTTTGTGAAATGACGCCCGTGCATCACTTTAAAATCGACCACTGACTTGTAGCCCAGGCTGTGGCACTTCCTGTGTCCGTACGGCAGGAGGTTTCTAGGCGAGGGCGGGGTGGCAGGGACTTTGGGTCCTTCGTTTGACGCCGTACATTTACGACCGCAGAGGGGAGACGAAGACGCCTCCTGACCTGCAGGTAAGAGCAAAGGGGGAAAAAACAAGTCATCGTGTCATCAAATAGGCTACAGTTGTTTGGTTTTTTTCAATGTTCAATCCTGACATTTTGACAAATATCAAACCGATACTGCTCCTGAGTATCGGATCGAGCCATTCCAAACAGAAACCTACCCACAAGATCCTCTTTAGAGGCATTTGCTCGTGGTGTGCTGGTGCCAGGCTCAATCTTCTGAGACAACCTAAAGAAGGAAAAAACAAAGATAAATTCACACTTTGATTGATTAATATTTCATTCCCGAACATATTTAGACAACCATTGGTAATGTAAAATTGTCCTGGATGGAAAATGGGATTTTTTTCCCCCTTACTTGTAGTTGTCATCTTCCACAAACTTCTGCAGCTCCTCAATATATCTGACTGAGTTGAGATATTTCTGAACGTGAGGCAGCACGGGTACATCTGTAGGTAACAAAGTCATGAGTACAACTGAGTTAAAAAAAAAAAAAAAAAATCAAGATAACAACGTAGAATCATTTGTAGTACAATCTTAAAATCAAACTGCAATGTGGGATTTTACAGGAGGTAAAAAGAAAATATTTTTTTATTTATGGCTATATTATTTATATATATATGTATATATATGTATATATGTATATACACATATATAAATATATATATACACGTATATACATACATATACATATATATATATATTATATAATAAGAGCTTTCATATAAAACAAAATGTGTTTTACACTGTATATCTCACTATTTAATCATCCAATCCTTCTTATTCAGACAGTCACAAGGTTATGATTACACATCTGTCATATCTATTGTCCCTGATGGCAAATCAAGACATGGTTGGATTAAGTTTCTTAACAAGGGACATATTCTCAAAATAAACTAGCTGGATATCGTAGCCCCTGAAAGACTGACAGCTTTGTCTCCTTCTTCTTCTGGACGTCGACAAAAATCTCACCATAGGTGCAGGATCTCTGCAGGTCTGAAATGATTCTCAGGAGGTTGTTCATCAGGTTAGACCTCTGTTCATTTTCCAATATGCTGCCCGTGGAGGGGTACGCCGAGTCTATGTAGGTCAGATCAGAAAGGTACATCCCTGAAACACAAGAGCAGGGCAGCATGTTTTCATTAGACGTGGAAATCCATCCAAGAGCTTTCAGACACGAGCTGAGATCCTGAAACACCCGTCACCGTGCCACTGTGTAAAATACAAAGAAACTGAATGCAGCATTTCAAAACATGATGATGTCATGAACCATATTCACGCAAACGACGTCCAGCCCCGTTTTGTTTAATCGCAGCAAATCTAAATCTGAGGCAAATTTAAAATCTTCAGTGTGAACTAAAAACCAAAGGAGATTCCTCTTCACCTATTAAATCTAGTTTTAAAAAACCAGCGGGAAATGAGAAATGACCACCTTTGCCCAGCAGCTGGGATCAGAGACACAGCTTGTGAGAGCCTGCACGATCAAGATCACACACAGGAGAACGTCCCTTTAACATAAACTTATCTTCACATTCCAGCCGTTCTTTTTCCAGATGATTTGTGATTACAGCGATTTAAGGGGAGGACTATTTTCCATTAAACGTTTACTCTCCAAACCGACGGTCCCTCAACGCATTTCACAGATGTGGAGCACAGCTGAAATTCTTCATCCCTCATTAGATAAATATTAACACCGAGACCTCAGTTCTGAGATCACTTCCCACAGTTTTAAATCCGGCAAAGGTTTCATTTGTAAACCGATAACCGGCAGCAACACCTCCTGGTAACATAAAACCAAACTGATCCATTCATGTCGTGACCACTGACCAGAAGAGAGCAGTGTTTCTCAAACTTTCTTTGGGGAAACCCAAACTCGTAAACTCCTGGGAAACATGATGGGAGACAACCCCCCCCCAAAAAAAAAAAAAAAAAAATCTCTTGCAACCAACCTGAGGGTCACGACCCAGTCTTTGGGAAACAATGCACTAGAAATATTTGTCTTGTGTTTGCGATTAAACTATGAAAATATAAAATATAAAATCACAATCAAAATTGCACATCAGTATGAAAGAAAAAAAAAAATTGCCAACAAAGTAATCGGTATAGTATCGAATCACGAAGTCTGGTTTTGGCCATCATTAGCACGCAGGGACATTTACGACACAGATGTACACATAAAAACAAACAACGGAACTAGAGGACCTACATGGGTAATAAAATGGTCAGACGTTGTGTTCAGGACACCATACACACAAACAACAATAAACACCACCTGATTAGAATCAGCCGCGGAGGAAAGAAAGCAGCGAGCCATTTACGAGTGTTGGCTGTGAAGGGGAGAGGGGGGAGGGGGGGGGGGGGAGGGACAGGAGAGGAAGAGAGGGATTAAGTGCAATAGCTGCTCTGCTGAAAGCATGTCAGGGATAACAGCTTTCAGTCGTACACAAATCCATGTCTGGAAACCCCACAGGCAGATGCATGCTGGGGGATCAGGACACGAATCTGAAGTGAAGAGGGGAAAATGTGGAGATAACCTCCTCTGTTTTACCTCTTCGTCTGCTCTTTTACTGCTTCTCAAATATTTGTTGAGAAGCTATAAAAAAAAAGGGGACAGGTTATCTATCTACATGCTTTTTATATTTTTATTCCGATGGATGGATGGATAGATATTATTTAAGGAAATGTGATACTTCAACTTGTCAAATCAGACTTGACAGATAAGTTAAAGGCACAGTTCCTAGTTACTCTTCATTCCACACCAGCCCCCACACAGCCATTCACGCTGCTTCTTTTTCCAATGCAGGAAACAAAGCAGAGGAGACTTTTGAATACCGTTCCTCATTCAATTCATCCGTTCCATCTCTTACCCATATAAACCAAACACACTTTTACCCCTTCGTCGGTATGTTTAAATGCCTCCGGTCTGGTAGTGCCATTGCTCTCAATCAGCTATACCTTAAGTATAACATGCAGAAACGCACATTGAAGAACAGGCTTGAGGACGCCGACCTTCCTTCTACTGATTTCACGTATCCAGCTAAACTTAACAGGAAGCTATTTGGAAAACCTCCTAGGGATCGCAATCAGGTCTATCCGCTGGAAAAGGAAAAGTGAAAAAAAATAGGAAGTGGTTATGGAGTGACAAGGGCGGGGGGTTAGAGAAAGCTTAAGTGGTCTGCTCTAAACTCTTCTTCTCAAGGAGGCACTGCTGAGGATAAGGATGAGAAACCTGATGGGTTTTTTTTTTTGTCTTTCTTCCCCTGCTGAATGACATCAGAGCTAGGCTGGAAAAAGCCAACCTACAACCCCCCACCCCCCACCCCGCCTCCGTCCCCTTCAACTTCTTGTTGCTCTTTCTCCGCCGCCTCCCCTCCTCTATTCTCCCCCATCCTTTGTGGAAAAACTCATAGCATCAGTAATCAGAGCCCAGTCTGTTGAAGTAGCCGGCTTTTGAACCATGCCTCAGTCCAAGCCCTGGGACAGCTGAGTCCACAGAGAAGACGGCACCTCTGAGGAGACGAGACGCTTTCATATTCAACTACAGGACAGTTGAACCTCAGAAGACCAGGAGTGGGATACTGAGAGACCGAACGAGAGATGAGTCCTGAGCAATGTGGCTCAAACAATAAACAGATGAGACTATAACTGCAGGACATACGCCGGAATTACTGGGAACATCAAGGTAATTTTATTCTCCCGTTATTTTAATTCTGGAATGTGTGGGTGGGTCAGGGTGAGTGGAACTGTGGGAGAATGCAGGAGTGGATAGTTCTGGCCCGTTGTTAGATCTCTGGCGCGGAGACTTTAGGGGTTAGGATGTTTCGTGACTGGAGGCTGCAGCTGCAGACAGAAAGATTTCACAGAGCTCCTCTGGCTAAACTGTAGTACGCAAACCAGGATGTGAAACTGAAACGAAAGCTTGGATATGTAGAGAAAGAAAATATGAAGTTAACAGCTACTGTAGAGGAACTTTAAGAATTAAAAAAAATTAATGAAATAATCAGAAACTCATTTAAAAGTTTAAAAAAACAACTTTGTAGTATTAGCAAAAAAAACAACAACAAAACAAACAAACAAAAAAAAACAAACCCTGAGTACTCATAGCATTATATTGTATTTCCCTGTAAAGGTCTGACTTATTACTTGTCATGTGTTTCTGCTAATGCTCTGGTCTGCTGCTGATACCAGTGGAAATGCTGTGTTTGCCACAAAGCCACATCTGTGAAGGTGATGGCCAGAAATGAAAGAAACACTCAAACACGCACGCACACGCACGACCAAAGTCAGAGCTGGAAGTCAAAAGTTAAAATGAAAAAAAAGAAGAAGAAAAAAAACCCACAAGTAACTGGAGCCGTCTTTCCTAAACACCGGTGCCTGGTCTTTAGATTGACCTAATATTAGAGAACAGGGGAGTCCAGGCCCAGGAGAGAAGGCTAATGGGTCGTTAGCATCAACACACACATAAAGTCGCTATTGTTTTAACCTGGCCTATAAATCTGAAGAGGGATTCTGATTAACATGTCAGTCATTAAACTTTGAAACCACCGGGAACAATAAAAATCACAGTGAGGTAATAACACAGACGCCTGCCTTTCCCGGCCACTCTCTCTCTCTCTCTCTCTCTCCCTCTCTCTCTCTCTCTCTCTCTCTCTCTCTCTCTCTCTCTCTCTCTCTCAGACTGTGCTGTAAAGGATCAAACTGCAAACTGCAGGTTTTTCCCAGACAATGGATGTGCAGCCAACTGTATCTGAGGCTGCGCCGAGACCTCAAAGACCCAAATGTGTAGTGGGGAAGTTCTGCTGATTGTATCACTGTAAACAGAGCGGACACAGATAACTCTAAAGCAAGCAGGATGCAGACAAGGCTGTGCCAAAAAAAAACATTTTGATTCGCTTTAAGTTCATTTCGAGATGAAGTGCGACCCGTGCCAAAAATAAGTTCATTTCGAGATGAAGTGCGACCAAAGTATCGCAGCTGAAGAGGAATTTGAAGTCATTTCAAAGAAAGCCCTCTAGCTGCACCGCAGAGCTCTTCTCTCTCCTAATGAGAGCCCGTCGAATCGACGGGGTCAAGACAGGGAGAAGGGGTCAAGCACCGGGTCAGGGTAAACACACAGGAGAAGGAGAGGCACGTAACTAAGTAGAGCCAGTGGGCGATAGGTGAGTGTGTGTGTGTGGACTCAGCTAATGAAAAGCACATGCTGGTCGTCATCTTAAAGATAAAGTTTCATTCAGAAACAAAGGTGTGTGAGTGACTTTTAGCAAAGAAATCATCAATATGGAATACGATTTTTAAAAAAATCCCTAAATAGAAGAATAATTAAGAGTAAGATTGGACGTTCTCCTCATCCTGTGCTCCCTGGCTCTCCTCTCTCCCCTGACTCTCCTATAGCACGTTCCTAGGACTTGAAACCTTAGAGCAGCAGCATGGGTTCATTCATAGCCGCGTGTCATTAAACCTGTAAAACACCGGCAGAGAAACGTCACCTAAATCTGTCAGAGTGGGGGTCATAAAATCTTTGGGTGTAGACACTCTTTTTTAACGGCGGCTTACTTCTGCGGAGGTGTTTGCATAAAAACGTCAAAGTGAACAAATTGATGTGAGCTCCTGTTGACGCAGCGAGATGGACGAGGACGGTGACGGGCGGCCAGACCCCTGTCTCAACAAAGACGCGACAGATATAGATGTGTGGCCTGACGTGAACTTTGCCCCCCTCTCCCCAGGAACTAAAGAAAATACCGCCTGTGCCCGTGTGCCTATTGGGGTTGGTGTGTTTTTCGAAGAGGAAAAAAAAAAAAAAGCGGGTGCATTTTTTTTTTTTTTATTAAAACAAAGACCGATTGATAGCAGCGGTTGCTGTGTGTACGGTGCTGGGGAACAGAGGCTGCACCACCATCCCCGTGTAGAGACCTCTGACCCCCAACATCAGCCCACATGTTTAGAGTTCCACTGCAGAAGAAGGAAAAACAGATTGGGGCCCGTGGGGCCTCAGGGAGCATTTGAGAAGTGATACCCACTCAGTAATATAACATCATGACACTGGGCAACTGAGTAGCCCCGGAGCAGAAGATAACAACCAGTCCCAGAGTTATAACTGGGGTGACTGTATTCTCACCACAATTCCACCTTAAATTCAACCAAGTCACTTTTGCTCTTCTGAATCATCCTTCATAAAAACACAATTATACATCGTCAACAACCCGGGTCGTGGATGTTCTTATTATTTGAACCTGTTCCCCGACTGTATCCTCCCATCATCACCATAATGGCTCCTGGAGTTTCTGTTAGCTTTCATTTTCCTCCTCGTCACTGTGTAACTAGCTGTTTGATGAGACCAAAAAAAAAAAAAGACTCAATTTGTCTTTTTGTGAGTCCAGCCATGTTCCTAAGCTCTGTTGACAGCAACAGTGATTGGTCGTGTATGGACGACAGCTGTGGTGAAATCAGTGTCTGGCGGTGTCATAACACGAAAGCTGGAGGAGCACTGTTTTCACACAAAGCAGTGTCTCGAGTTTATTATTTCTTCAAATCCAAACTCTTCCGGTTGTGTCTGTTTTTGTTTGACTTTTTAGTTTAGTCAGACCTTTATCTTCCCGGTTGTGATACTGTACTTCGACAGGCTACAGACAGACCGATGACACGCTGGCCAGAAGACGGGAAAGGAAAAACAAGGTTATTAAGACATCTGGTTATGAAACAGCGGTGGTTTCAGATCTGAGTATTTATATTTCCCTGCTTCAGTCCCAGATTAGAAATGTAGTAAACAAACCAGTCCTGCCACCATTTTGACAAGTTAATGTAAAAGCTAACCAAAA